GCTCCCAAGTACTGGGATTACAGGTGTGCATCAGCATGCCCAGTTTTATGCAGTACTGGTGACAGAACCCAGGGTCTCCTGCATTCTAGGTAAGCAGTCTACCAACTGTATTGCACCCCCCCGCCCCGCCTAAAAACAGAGGTTTGTTCAGCTCATGGTTCTGAAGCTGAAAGTTCAGTATCAGACAGCCACATCTGACCAATGCTTTGTGTTGTGTGTTGGAAAAGTGGAAGGGTGGATGTGTTCAAGTGAAAGTGACTAAACATAAGGTGTGGCCTTGCTTTCAAGCAGCTCACTCTCAAGATATTAATCTAGTCCTTCAAGAGCACACTAATCCCTTCATGAGAATAGAACCCTCTTATTCCAAACACCTTTTAAAAGTCCAATTATCTCTTAACACCATCTCATTAGGGACAAAATTTCACCATGAGCTGGAGAAAACCTCATTCAGACTATAGCAAACATAAATTTTGATATATCAGCAGCTTTCCAAGAAAATATAATTTCCTACAATAGTCTATTGGCTCAGTACATTTTGGTAATTCAGATTCACTCAGTCCCATCTACAGATGGGCCCAAGTCACCATGTGACCATGGTCATTTCAAGGTACTTTTCATATTAAACACCAGAAAAACACTAAGAAATGGAATAAGGTATTTTATAAACCTGCCATGGAATATTTAAGAAAGACAGGCAAATGGTTCACCATCATTGCATCACCTAAGAGAGTCAAGCAGATTCACTGTATACAGAAAATCTTTCTGCATTCTCAAAGACTCCATAGCTAAAAGTACTGAGAAGCTCTGTAAAATGGTTTAAGAATTCAGCATTAGGAGCTGAAGAGATGGCTCAGAGGTTAAGAGTACAGGCTTCTCTTGCAGAGGACCAGGGCTCTGTTCCCAGTACCACATAGCAGCTAACAATGGTCAAAAGTCCAGTTCCAGGAGATCCAATGCCCTCTTCTGGCCTCTGAGGGCATTGCATGACATGAGTGCACTTACATACATGCAGGGAATACACTCACACATAAAATAAAAATAAATAAGTTTTTAAAAAGAATTCAGCACTAACCAACAGGTCTAAAAGTTTAGTCTCTGCTTCCCATGTCTTCTCTCTCTGAGCATCTGGCTCTTAGCTGGACTACAACAGCAGTCTTCTAACTTGTTTCTACTCTTGTCTTGATAGTTTATTCTCCATACATCAGCCACAGCGGTACTGTTACAACTTAGCAATTGAATTCAAATCAGTCTTCCGCCCAAAATTCTATCATGAATCTCCCTCCCTCTTTAGCTCAGAATTGAAACCTTTTTATAACAGCTCACAAGGCCCTCCATGATCAGTCCTGCCTATCCATTACCTTTCTGACATCTCCATCTACCCTGCCCATCATTCCCCCATTTCCCCACCCTGGACTGAAAGCTATTCTTTACTGTCAGGCCCTGTAGTGACTGACTGTTCCTGGTGCCTGGTGTGCTTTTCCCTAGATAACTCCATGGCTAATTCCCTCAGCTGCTTCATATCTTTGCTCAGATATCATCTTCTCAGTGGGCTGAGCACCCCATTTAAAAATTTCAGCCTGTGGTCTGGAGAAATGGCCTTGCAGTTAAAAGCACATTCTACTCTTCCTCAGGACCCACATTCAGTTCCCAGCACCCATATTGGGAGGCTCAAAATTGCCTGTAACTTTAGCTCTAGGGAATCTGACTTCCTCTTTTGGTCTCTTTGGGTACCTGCTCACATACACATGTGTACATACCCCCACAAAGACACATACACATAATTAAGAGTAAAATAAATCTTTGGGTTTTTTTTTTCTCAATGTCACCAAGAATTAAAGGTATTTAGAGTTCAGAATTCATTTTATAACATAGTCAGTAACCGGTATGTGCTACCACACTGATTCCAAGCAAGCCATTATTTCTAAGACTCACTAAGGTCAGCCAAGCCCTGAGCACATATAAACCTCCATACTTTCCACCTTACAACCAGATATCTAACTACAAAGTAGAAGCTAAAAATAGACCCAGTCTAGTACTTACAAACACTCTACAAAGGTGCATTTCCAACTCAAGGGACCTTTATCGACAACAATACTCACATTCCAAAGAGATGTTTCACTTAGCAGGAAAAATCCCTTTCATTTTGAATAGGCTTAAATATAACCAAAGAAAGTTTGATGACTCAAAGTGTTCAAAGAATATTACCTGCACCTGTTAGTCTTGGTTTGTTAAAAAAAAAAAAAAGAAAGACTGAAAGTCCTCCAGGGTTGGGTTAAGCTTCTTTATCTTTTATACTGCATGACAGGAAGTCATGCACTGCCATTTTTTTCCCCCACCTACACTGCTTCTAACTCATCATGCTTCCTGGGAGAAGCTTAAATTCAAGCTTGTTCAAACCTAGTGATCCATTGATAAATACCTATCTACAATGCACAGTAGAAACAAGATGTGGTGTGCAACACAGAAAAATGATTGCAGTTCCTTTCCTATCTAAAGCTTATTATCTAAGACTACATGGCAAGAACCCTCCCCTCCCCCAAAAAGCCAGGCCAATTATTGTGTGAGGTGATATTGCAAATTATAAATAAATATGAATGCTGCACAGAGGCTAAATAAAGCAGGTAAAATGAAAGTGATTTGAACAAAAATATTAGCAATGGAACTAAAGAAATAAGCATCTTCTAAAAATATAAATTCATGACATTCTACCAATTCTTCCATGTTGGGGAAATAAAATAAATACATAGAAGTTCACCAAAAACTTCATGATAATGAAAATATTATCCTCTGTAGACCCAGCACAGACAGTCCAGGAAAATGGATATTAAAATTTTAATCCTCCTTACTACAAGAAAGCTGCTTTCCTAAATGGGGCTCTTGAACATATCTAATGGAACATTTTTCAGGAGAACAAACTGATGCTGTCACATACACATGGTGTCAATGCCTCCCAACTTTCCTTTGGAAGGTAGTTCACTTGAAGTAACAGATTCATCTCCGTGACAATATTTCCATATTTGCAGCCAACAGGAGATCCTTATCAACATCCCATGGCAGAATATGACCTAGGGACTCAAGATTGCAAAATCATCCTGTTCTATCCCAAATGGAATTTCAGAGCATTGCCATCTCGCATTCTAGGTAAACCCCAGCAGGCTCTGGCTCTGTGACTGACCCTAGCAGAAGATCCCAGGAGGACATTGTCAGACAAAATGACAGCTGCACATCAGGTGCTGTTCAAACCCAACAGGGATTTAGGAATGTTCACACGAGTTGATCCATTACCGGGTCAGTAACTTTTTGTTTTGTTTTGTTTTGTTTTGTTTGAGACCCGGACTCCTTGTAACCTCCCCTGGTCTGGAACTTGCTGTGTAGTCCAGGCTGGACTCGATCTCACAGAGATCCACCAACATCTTTCTCTTGAGTGCTGGGATTAAAGGTGTGTGCCACCACACCTGGCTCTTCAGTAACTTATATGCCCAGAGAAAGATATTTTTTTCTGCTTACCTTGACATGTATTTTAAGGATTCCAATTTTGGAAGACTTAAAATATTATATTTAAAACAAAAAATGCCACCTATTCTGGGTACCTTGGAGATGAGGATTAGAGGCAGCAGGTGGTTATGGACCACACAGTCCAGAAATGTCTACATTTTGAAGACCAGCAATTCAATCTTCTGGAGGCTATAAATAAACTTTTAATTAAAAACCACTTGTACCTTACACATGTTTTTAGTCCCCATGAAATGTTTTATTCTCAATAGTGATAAAAATTGCCTTGCTCTGAGAAAACAAATGTCTGCCCAAGACTCAATGGGCTGAACCAGTAAGCATAGCTAAGCCAACTACAGAGTAACAACATTTCTCCCAGGCGCTGTCATTGTACAGTGTCATAGTACCCTCCTTCTTTGAGTGACTGCAGACTCACTATGAAACTTTCTTCTTTGGTATTCAAAATAATCAGCGAGTTTGCTGTTTAGAAACTTACGAGTTAAACATCCCAGGGCTGGAGAGATAGCTCAGTGATTAAAAGCACTTACTGATCTTCTCGAAGACCCAGGCTCCCAGCACCCATAACAGGCAACTCACAACTGCCTATAACTCCAGTTCCAGGGGATCCAATGCCTCCATGGACACCTGAACATACATGGTGCACATAAACTCATGAAGGCACATACACATACCCATAAATAATAAACAACCACTTTTTTAAAAAAAAAGCAATGAACCCTCTCACTCTGGCCTGGAAGACCTCAGTCAGAAAAGCAATCTTGACCTGCACTTCAGGCAAAGAACTCCAAGTGAGAGGTTTCTAGATGTAACAGTCACATGTATGTTATCTTTACTTTTCTAAGGAAATGTGATTCTAGGCTAGCTTTGCAAAGTGTGTCTACACTCTGCTCTTCCTAGCATCCTAAGGTAACATGAAGTATAGTCCCCTCACTGCACTGGGTCAAAAAAAATCTAATTTTGTCACATACAGCTTTGTTCCTATTGTTCTTAGGCTGACTGAGAACTCATGCTTCTTTACAAAACGTTGCAGCTACAGAAAATATTTGCTGCTTGAATAATGGCTCTGAATTTTGTATTCTGGTTTCCAAGTATCGAAAAGGAATCAAATGTATCTCTGCTGCAGTTCAGTTCCCTTGGACCTGTGACGTTTTAATTTTGTATTGGCTTTTCTTCTAAGCAGAAACATTATGAGAGCCATGAAACCAGCTGCGAGTGTCAAAATGTTTTCTGGCCCTTTTGGAGCTAAAGTAACCTGTGGAAAGCTTCCCTGCTTCTAAAATATCACCACAGCAGATGACTCAAGCAAGATTCGCCAGTTGGATGCTGAAGCTCTTTGTGAATCTCAGACAATAAAAGGGAAGGTGTAGACACGGCACTCAGGTCCTCCCTCCACACCTGGCACGGTAGGGTTGCCAAATTTAAGAAGACAGGAAAAAAATGACTATTCAGAGCATGTGCCTCAAGTAAGAAGGCTGCTCCTGACATACCCATGGGAGTAGCCGTAATCATAGGCCGAGGCTGCCTTCCGACTGACTTCAGACCCAACGGAGTACTGGGAGGCTCCAAGACGGTAGGCCTGAGCGGCCTGCTGCCGGTAGGAGGAGGCTGAGGCCTGACTAAAGGCCTCTGACTCCTGGCGGTGTGCTGCGGAGGAGCGGCTGCTGTAGGCCGTGGAGCCATGGGTATAGATAGCAGAATGCTTCTTCTCCTGCTGGTACTGGCTCATAGCGGTGCGTAGGTCCTTGTTGCGGTAGCTGAAGTCATAGTGCTGGTGAGACTGCTGATAAAAAGGCAAAGACATTATGCGTCCTTGCGGAGAGGAGGCGACCTGCGGGAAGAGAACAGTTCTTGAGTGAGCACATCCCAGAGAACAACTCGTCTCAACCAGTGTGAAAGAATTCCCTCTGTGATGTTTCCAGAGAAAATGGGAAAGGATTTGTAAGTTCGGCCTAACCGGTATTCAGTAAATTGGCTCCACAGTGGCCCACATGCACAGCCTCGTGTTGTGTTTTATGTCTAGGCCAGCTTGGCAGAGTTTCCTCTTTGACTATTGCGCTTTATCCTCAAACAGCTATAATGCCTGTTTCTAATTCTCTGGCCTCTCATTCTGATGCCGGCTTCATTTAGGAGAATGATGCAAAGTAATGTGGTGTTCAATTTAAGAAATAACAAGTGAGCACCTACTGTGAGTCTAGAATGATTCCAGCACAAATATAGAGGTCAACAAACCAAACAATCCTCATGCAATAACCCAGCATAGAACTATATATTCTGTAGGAGACAGACAATAGTGAAAATGAATAGTTTTGAAGGATATTAGCATGCACTAAATGCAACCAAGAGAAGTGAAAGAGAGAAGGTGCCATGTTGAGCAGCCTCATCAAGGACAGCTTCACTGGAGAGGGACACCTGAATATGAGACTGCCTGGGGGAACAGTGCTCCAGATGGAATATCCATGCATGGGTGCTGGGAAAGAGCAAGCCGAACATGCTCCAGACAGAGCCAGGGGCCAGTGGGGCTACAGGGTTAGAGGAGCAGGAGGAGGTATAGATGATGTCAGAGAGGTGAGGGGCATGTGGGAGAGAAAGGGCAGAGAGTGTAGGGTCCTACAAGAGACACTAAAGACTTGTCTTTTATTCTGAGAGTGCTGAGAAGCCACTAGAAGGCTGTGAGCTGATCATCACTTGCTGGTGTCTGAAGAATAGACTGTTGAAAGAAAGGAGAAAGCCAAGAGATCAATTAGAAGGCTATGGTTGACTGAATTATGTCCTTCTCCCCAAACTCATATGCTTAAGTACCTCTAGGCCCTTAGAATAGAATTGCATTTGGAGACAGGATTCTTAAAGAGGAAATTAAGCTAAAATGAATACATTAACTTATAGAACTGGTCTCCCTGGAAGAAAAAGAAACTAAGACAGTATCCGGATATATAACAGAGGGAAGACCATGTGGAGACACAGGCAGAAGTGGGCCATCTACAAGCCAGCAGAATCCTTAGAAAAAATAACTCACAGAACACTTGATCTTGGATATCCAGCCTCCAGAACTGTAAGGAATGCATTACTGTTGGTTAAGCCACCTAGTCCTTGACACTGAGTTGTCAGCAGACAAACACAAAGGCCACTTCCATAGTCCAAGCCAGTGGTAGCAATGGAAGTGAATGAAATGGTCAGACTCTGTAGAACATTTGAAGGTAGAACCAAGAGCATTTGATGAAAGTTCTGAATTAAAACATGAAGGAAAAAGAAATGATGCCAAGGTTTTTACCTTAGTAACTGGAAGACTAAGGTTGTTCTTATCTGAGATGGGGAAGAGAAGGTATCAGCTTGTGGTAGAATAAACAAGAAACGGGTCTGAGATGTTCTGCATTTGAGGTATCTGCTAGACCCTCAAGCTGAGCTGTTAAGTGAGAAGCTGGATGTATAACTAAGTAAGTTAGACTACAGGGAAGTAGTGTAGGATGGAGTTCTACATTTTGGAGTCAACAGTATACAGATGATACTGAAAACTGAGATGATTCTGGGCACAGTGGTACATGCCATTAATCCCAGCACTCTGGAGGCAGAGGCAGGCAGATCTCTGTGAGTTTGAGGTCATTCTGGTCTACATAGCAAGTTCCTGGCCAGCCACAGTTACATAGTGAGACCCTGTCTCAACAACAAGAAAGAACAAAAGGGAGGGAGGGATGGAGAGAGGGAGGGAGTAAGGAAACTGAGAAGACAGGTAAGAATACCTGCAAATGGAAAAGCCCTAGAACTGAATCTTGGAGGCTGATAATTTTATAGACAAGTTCTCTTAAATCTCCCATTTCAAAAAGGTATCTTTTTCAAAGCAGAAGTATTTACCCGATTAGGGATGTGGAGGTTTCCAGTCTTCCTACATCAAGAACAATTCCAACCTCAATGTGGCAGTAGGCAGTGCAAACTTCAACCAGGAGTTCTCCCAAGCATCAAAGGTACGTTTGCTTAGCACAGGGAGGGGAGACTTCACAGTGAATTTACTTTAAAAAGAAGATTCATTCATTTATTTTTATGTGTATGAGTGTTTGCCTGAATGTATGCATGTGAACCATGTGCACCCTGATACTGGTGAAGGTCAAATGAGCATCAGATCCCCTAGAACTGGAGTTACACAGAGTTTTGAGCCACCATGTGGAAGCTGGAAACCAACCAGGGTCCTCTCAAGAGCAGCAATTACTCTTAGCTGCAAGCCATCTTTCCAGCCCCTATTTACTTTTTACATTTATTTATTTACTTGGGGGTAGGAGCATGGTACATGCATGCTACAGCGTACATGTGGAGATCAGAGGACAACTTGCTAGCATTAGCTGCTTCTTTCCACCATGTGAGTTCCAAGGATCAAACTCAGGTCATCAGGCTTAGTGGCAAGTGCCTTTATTGGCTGAATCATCTTGCCAGTCCCCACATTTACTTTTGTGAATAATCTGTTCACTGAAAGGAAGACTATAAGGCTCATGGACAACCTGGGGAAAGTGATCATTTTACAGAAGCCCTCAGTTTTAAGAAAAAATGCTCTTATGCATATTGTGAAATATTTTAAAAATATATAAGAAAGCTGGGCATAATGTCACATACAGATGATACTGAAAACGGAGAAGCACTCCATTAGCAGAGGCCTGTGGATCTCTGTGAATCAAGGCCAGTCTGGTCTACATAGCGAGTCCTAGGCTAGTTGGGGCTACAGGGAGACCTTGTCTCAAAAAGACCAAAAAGGAAAGAAAGAAAGAAAGAAAGAAAGAAAGAAAGAAAGAAGAAAGAAAGGAGGGAGGGAGGGAAGGAAGGAAGGAAGGAAGAAGAAAGACTGTTTTGAAGTAAAGTGTTTTTCAAACCCTGTTTTTCTCAAAAATCCTGAGTGAATTCTTTTACTTTTTTTTGAATTTAAAACTAATTTTTATTTAAGTCATTTAAAAAGTCAGTATGTATTCCCTAGAGAAAAAAATCCGCCCCCAAAAATCCAGCAAACCACTCCAGAAATATTTATCTTAGGTCCCATGGAAGATATCAGTCTGCATGGCATTTCCTAAGGGAAAAAATAGCTACTAGCAAGCAACTCTGCTTCAACCCTTAAATAGATTGCTTTTTTCTGTTATTAAAGATGCAGAATCATGCATGATGAATAATTATTAGATGGCTTTTATGGTACAAAAGGATTAGAATACATTAATCTAGGATCATGGTAGCAGTTGTGAAGTATTAAATAAGTCTCTGTAATGACCCATTGTCATAGGCAAATACCCTTTGAATGATTTACAAATAAGTAATAAAAGACCTTTCACTGTATATTATAAACTAATATCACTAGCCAGGATGACTCAAAATGTATCATTTCCACAAAATAAACTATTTAAATATCTTGCCTCAATTCTATTTTATTCTTTACTATTGTCCCCAAGTATATTTGTTATTATTATTATTATTATTGAATATTCAATACATAGGGGTCATTTATTACAAGTAAGCAGGGATTGACTTTAATTCAGCAGAGCTGGTTGACCTCTGGAAGGAAGGTATAATTACCTCCTCTTCTTAAGTAAGCAGGCGTGGCCAACACACAACAGCTAGTTTATTAGAAGGAAAGATGGTTTGGTTGAATTCTGTGCCTTTGATGGTAAACTATCTTCTTGAAAATAATCTGGCAATCTAGAAAGAAATACAAGTTCCACAGTTGTAACTTGATGTGATACTTTTGTACTGGCAGAGGCCAAAAGTTAATGAAAATTATTCACAGAAGGTGTTAACTTCAGGGTGGCCATGGTGGGGATCTGCTCCCTCTGAACCCAGCCATTTTCAAGTGAGGACTACAGTGATGTGCACTAGTGCCTTCGTCTCCACTGCACTGTCAGAGCAAAATCACTGAATCATAAACTCGAGTTCAGAGTGAATTTGCATCTTCCTGGCCTAATTTGTACTCTGGGAGAGCTGTAGGCACACAGATGAAGGAAAACACAGAGCTTCCTTTCCCTTATCCATTCTAGATTCCAACCAAACTACTGAACTACAACTTGGAAAGAGTACTTCCAGTTGAATCTGAGACAAGTGTGGTCTCATGGTCCAGGAACAGCAGGCTAACTTCAAAAGATAAGAGCGATCTGGCAAAAAGAGCCATGCCAGCCCCGCGGGGACACCCTGCACTCAGCTTTCCCCTGCCGGAGCTTCACTTTACATTTTCCTACTATTCACACATCTCCCAGAAACTGCTGAGCTCAGAAGGCAGAAAGCAAGCGAGCGCACATGGGTGTGCTGCTGAGCACATAAACCACCGGTGCATTTTCCTTCTCAATGCCGCACTTACCAGTTTCCAAGGCAGGGATGGCGGTGGGACGCTCCCAATGCTGCTGAGGCGCTGGAGGAGAGAATGAAAGCCCCACCTACGGTAAATCTAAGAACAAGTGAAGAGGCTGAGCTGAAGGCAGGACGTTGGGCCCAGTTCAAAAATAATGCATGTGGTCAGGCAGCAGAATGTCAGGGCCCCACAGCCAGCCTTTTATGGCCAAGAAGGAGGATAAATATAGCAGCACATGGGGAGGGTAGTCCCAAGCCCCAAGGAGAAGAGCACCGGCAGGTAGCTGCACCACCAATGTGACTATGTAGATGGTACTCAATGATTCTGGCCTGATTAAACCAGAGGATTTTTACTGGGCTATAGGTGCTATGTCTAGTATAACTTTATCACTTTAAAAGGGTAATGGAATGAGTGGGTTGTGCTTAGAGCTAAAAATAGATGTAGTAATCTGATTCTCAAAATGGACTTCATGGAATTTTAATGCCAAGATGTGGTTCTGCATGTGCTGTTAGTAACACATGCACAAAACATTTAAAAGACACAAAGTAAAAGGAAGAACGCAAGGCTAACTAAAAACAGAGGCTGTGTGTGTGGTGGTTTTCACTTCACACTGAACGCCACCCTTCTCTTGTTTCAGGAAAATTTCCCAAAGTAAGCCACAGCTCCAGGTCTGAATATTTAATTCCTTGCTGACAGCAAAAACCTTAGGAGAGGAAACTTCATGTCTTATCCTTCCTAAACTCAAGAGTAGGGTCAGCCTAACCAGCTGATTGTGTTTTCCTGATGGTGTGACTAGGGATAACCTGATGGTTAGAGCATGCTGTGTGAGTTCAAATCAGACCCAGATTCCAGCCCATTGGAGGCATTTCATAGCCATGTAATATAAGGCAACTCCTTCCTCCCTCAGATTCAGTCTTTTCTCTCTAAAATGCAGACAACAGTGTCTAAATTATAGGATTGCAATGGAGATTAAATGCAATGATGCAAATAAATCACAATGCTCAGTAACTGCTGCATAATAAAATCTCACTAAATGTCAATATTGTGACTGACAGTAACAACATAAAAGTTCATTGTTCAGATTGTTATATGTATTGAGCAAGTTGATATTTGGATATACTGGCCTGTGTTCTGAAAAGTGATTACATCAACTGAGTATAGATTACCTACATATAGAAAAATATTGAATAAATATTATAGCATATTTATAATTAAAATTTATTTTTAATTTCACTAAGAATTATTTGATACGTAAAATTATGCATATTAATATGGTACCATGAGATATATATGACACTGAGTAATGTTTAAATCAGGTTAATCCTAGCTATCTCAAACATTTTATTCCTTTCTTCTAGTTTTTGGAGTGTGTAGTGCCTCATCAATACCTATTTTCATCCCACTGTGCATTAGCACATCAGAGTGTCTTGCTTCCTACTGTAACTTAGCATCCACAGCCCTCCACTCATCCCTTATATTAACGGTGTACATGTGCACTGTTGAGCTGTCTGAAATCCACAGGAGAGGTAAAAAAAAAGCTCTATGCACCCCCAGCATCCATTCATTCTCTTAAATCAAACAGAGAATACACTGGCTCTTCTCAAGTTTATCCACCAGCCACTGGGATGGTTTTTGGTGAGCCATTTCTTTAGAAAATAGTGTAGGTTTCTTCTAATCTTTTGAAAGTAGGAAAGAGAAAAAATAATCCCAAATAAGAGATATAAATTATCATAGTACTAGCTAATAGTTAATGAATGCCACATGTTATGTATTAACACTAACTACTTTGCAATATACTATATGATAAACATATGTAAAAACACTTCATAAAAGAAACTGATATTTAGAGATATAACTCTTTTCAAAGACACACAATTGGAACATGACAGAGGACTCAAAATGCCATCTGTTCTATACAGAGCCCAGCCTCCTATGTCACCTTTCAGCCATTTAACTGTGTGTACAGAACATCATGTCCAATAATGTTCATTAGAGGGAAGAGCTTCAGGAGAACTTCATCCATGATTTTTATGTAACAGAAAACAATTGGTTAGTTTAAAATATGTTGGCTGGAGAGATGGCTCAGTGGTTAAGAACACTGGTTGCTCTTGCAAAGGACCTGGGGTCAGTTCCAAGCACCCACATGGTAGTTAATAATCTGTTCCAGAGGATCTGATGCCTCTTCTGTCCTCCATGGGCATTGCATGTACATGGTACACTTGCATACGTGCAGGTAAAACACATACATAAAATTTTTAAGAAAATAAAATACTTCTAAAAGAATTATAGCTTTCAGACTTGCCTTGGATAGTTTCTATAGACTTTCCTTTAGTAGGTGCAGTTTATTGTGATCACACTAGCTGCAAATAAAACTGTAACTTTATGATTCAGGTCCTCTCTATTTAAAAAAGTAATAATAATTCTTTTTTTAAAATAAGAAAATACTGGTTTTAAGGTATATGTGCATTTTCTTTTTAAACTAACTGCAAGGATATTAACGTTTTATGAGTATGAAATAACAAGTAACTAAAAGACAAAACAGATACACAAATTATATTTAGTCACCTAACACTGTGCCAGCTCATTTTCGTCTTGTAGTAGGCAAAGTAATCAGCAAACCATTACTTTATGTGAGGGAATAAACAAGAAAACTGCCCTTGAGGAATAAAATGTGAGGAAAACAAAAACTAAATTCTACCTAAAATTAAGAAAAAAATTCCCTGTTTTGGTTTTAATTAACAAGAGAAAAAAGGATGGCTTGCATTTACACAACCTTGTTAGTTCATAAAGCATTTGTCCAAAGCTACCCATAAGTCAGGCATTGTCCTGCACCCCAGGAAACAGAGGCATTGGAGCCATGCAGGTGAGTAGACAGTTTCCTTAGGAATAATTGTACTTCAGTGGGGTAGGTGACACAGAAAAATAATACAGTACAGAACAAAAATATGATTCCCGTTACAGCAAAACTAAAAAGAATCCCTCTCCTTTAAAAGATGGGAATCAAAGGGGGATACAGCATTCTTCCAGATATGAGGATTCAAACTGACTGCTGCACACCCTGTGGTTACGGACTTACAAATTCTAAGCAATATTTCTCCAACTCAGATCCTAAGAAAAATATTAATTATTCAGAGTGCTCAAAGCTACAGTTGTAAGAATAACTTATAATTATAAGATAACTAATTATATCCTGCATATATATATAAATATATATGTATATGTATATGTATTAGGGGCACACACACATTTGGAGGCAGATATTTGACATCTAGTCTTGTTGCTTGTTGAATGGCTTTAAAAATCATTTCACCTCTCTAAAGCTCCACAAAATACTGGAACTACATGATCTCTAAGGTTATTTCTAGCTCTGTTTTCAGTGCTATTGATCTAGAAAGGGACTGTTCTTCTCTTCTCTCACTCATAAATGGATTAGCAACAACCTTACATGAAGGATAAGGGAATGAAATACACCCTTTTTGGTTGATGAAGTGCCCCTTCCTTGGTGTTGCTTTATATTTTCAATCCTTACTCTATTGAAAATAATCCAAAAATGCATTTCAGGATATTATCATTTAAGGTTGTGGGTCACAAAGGAGAGAGGGAGTGAGGGAAGGAAGGAGGGTGGGAAAAGGTGAGGGGACATGGCCTCAAACTCTTATCAGAAGCCAAACCTCCTGTTAGTAAATGAAGCAAGTCTAAATGAGATGAACTAGATGTAGGTCTAGAATTAGAGTGATGTTAACATGGCCCACATCTGAGCAATGGCAAAATGAAGCCAGCATTCTATCTTCCATCAGGCCTGCAAGTTGTGAAGGGAACAAGTGAAGTCCTCCCCAACCAGGCAAAAGGTAAGGATTTCTGGGTTATTGGTCCTGGAAAACAGCAAGCCTGTGATGGTGCAGCACTGGCAGGTGAATGGTGAGACAAGGTCCCACCTCTACTCACCTCCTGTCTACAGCTGTGCCCTCTAGAGTAGACTCTACGCCACCAGGAAGCACAAGCAGAATTCCACAGAGGCCTTGGTTTTCCATGGGATGCTGCACGTGGGCCTACGGACAAGAAATTCTTTCTATTCTTTTCTAGTTGCCTCCATTTCCTTCTGTCCCCTTTTTCCTCAACCACAAGAACCTCTACTTTGCCTAACCCCCTGTATTAGTCATGTTCCTCATTGCTGTGACATAATACCTGACAAAAGCAACTTAAGAAAGGAAGGGTTTATTCTGGCTCACAGCTTGAGAGTAGTCTACCATGGCAGGAAAGTCATGGTGGCAGGAGCTTGAGGCCACTAGGCACATTGCATCCACAGCCAGGAAGGAGAGAGAGATGAATGCTGGTGCTCAGTTCCTTCCTCCTTTTTATTCAGTCCAGGACCGCAGCCCAAGGAACAGTGCCACCCACACTCAGGACAAGTCTTTATTCTGCAGCTAAATCTTTCTGAAAACACACTTATAGGCACACCCAGAAGTATGCTTTCCATGCTGATTCTAATTCCTGTCAAGTTGACAACCAGGATTAACTATTACACATTCTTTCCCTGTTTTCAGGAGGAGGAAACTGTTGGCTACTAGGACATGTCTGGCCTAGGGTTGATGGCTAAGTGGGCAGAGGCTAACACAATACTTCCCTATGAGCAGAAAGAGAGTGGGGAGCAGCACTAATGGACTCCCTCAGCAATGCAGAGGCTGAAGTAGTGACGTTGGCCTCCCCCAGAGTCCTAGACCCAAAACCAAGGTTTGACAACCCTCTTCCTAGACTGCGACTTCTGGAGATGAAGGAGGGCAGAGTTTAATATGAATGGACAGCATCCTAAGAGACAGGCAAGTCCCAAGTCCCAGCTGAGCTTTAACCACCTTTAATATAGCCTAAGACACCCTAATGTTACCCCAAGATAGTGAGAAGTTGACTATACTGTTTTAACGTTGATCCATGCCCTGCTCTCACCATGCCCTTCTGCCCACTACTCTGGTGAATGAAGGGTTCCCTGGATGCTGAAGGGTTCTCTTGTGGCTGAGGATAAAGAACAGTTGACCAGGCAGCTAAGCATGCTCAATTATTTTTAACCTTGCAAGGGATCTTTCTTTGACTTGGGCTGAAATATTGCCCTCTCATTATTGACTAATGCTTATCAGTAATAATGCATTAGAATTTCCAGACATAGAAAATTTCAAAATGTTGCCTTTTGGACAGAAAGGTGGCT